GTTTGAAGTTGCGTATACGTTTTTCAGTAGGAGCCATAGTCTAAAGTATATTAAATATATATGATTTAAAACTTACATGTTAGAGTTGAATATTTCGGATTGAATCATAACTAATTTATTTTAAAGAGGCTATTAACTTAAATTATAAGTTATCGATTATTAAGTGTATAGTAGAGGAGGGAGGTCAAACAATTGGAGGTGGGGTGGTGTGGGCGCGAAGGCCACTAGTCTAGGAGTGGCTCTGTTCCTAGAAGAGAGTTTCTCATACACACACTACTAAAGTATTATAAAGTTTGAACTTTAATATGAGACAACTAGTCTGCAAATCAAAGACTTTTTTTTTCAATAAGCTATACTTCGTTGGGAAAATATGGGCTTTTATATCCTCTTCCATCTTTCTTTGTTTGGCTTCATTTACTTGAACTATCCACAAATCATTCATGCCACCATCAGCAGTCAGCAATCCAAACCGCTATCCGACGCGGACACACCGGGCCCCACTTGGCCCGCTCAAAAGTGAAGATGCCTTGGAATATTCCCTCGCCCCTTGAATTCCTGATCCAGTCACGAAAATAATTACGCTTGTCCTCGCCTCCATTCCTCCTCATCAATCAACCAACCCTCTCTCGCCTCGGACGCCATCAAATTCCACTACCCCTTCTATAAATTCCCTCACTCTCTCCATCCAAACAAACCACAACACCCAAAAAAAAAATGCCTACTCAAATATCCGAATCCGAACAACAGCAACTCATCGAAAAGCTCGACATCTTCAGAATCAAAGGCAGAGACAAGCGCGGCCGCTCTATCCTTCGCATCATCGCCAAATTCTTCCCAGGTATATATATATATATATATGTATTCATCTTTTTATTTATTTTATTTTTTGGTCGAAATTTCGTGATTTTTATTTTATTTTTCATTTTGATGATTTAATTAGCGAGGATTGTGAGCGTGGATGCTCTGCGCAAATATTTGGAGGAGAAAATATTTCCAGCATTAGAGAAGAAGCCGTTCGCGGTGTTGTACGTGCACACCGGAGTTCAAAGGTGCGAGAACTTCCCCGGAATCTCCGCCGTCCGATCAATCTACGATGCGATCCCGATCAACGTCAAGCGCAATCTCGAAGCTGTGTATTTCCTCCACCCTGGCCTGCAAGCCCGCCTCTTCTTAGCCACCTTCGGCCGCTTCCTTTTCACCGGAGGGTAATATTAATTAATTAATTATTAATTCTTTTGGATAAGCGCATTTTAGCATCTGTTTAGTTTCCTGAGCTAACGTGCTCGAGGGCTGCAGGGTGTATGGGAAGCTGAAGTACGTGAGCAGGCTCGATTATCTGTGGGAGCACGTGCGGAGGAGCGAGATTGAGGTGCCTGAGTTCGTGTACGATCATGATGAGGACTTGGAGGACCGTCCGATGATGGACTACGGATTGGAGAGCGATCATCCGAGGGTGTACGATGCGCCCGCATTTGATTCGCCTGTGTCTATGTACTCCATGAGATGCATCTCATAGTCAACAATTAATTAGGGTTAGAAGTTACATCGGATGTTTCCATTGGGCCTTCCAGTTAGATCAGTCAGCCAATGGTTTAGTTGCGTCTTTGTTCTCTGTTACGATTTCTTTTGATAAATACTTTTGTATAAATCCAAAATCCAAAATTTCAGTGTTCCTTAATAGAGGACTTATCTTCTCACTTACAATAATTACTCGTAATGGAAGAGATAGACATTAAATATTAACCTAATCGCATTCTTTGATCGGATCGAAGCCCGGCCTAAAAGGTATCATTGGATCCTTATGTTTTTATGTATGCTTGATTAGATTGGAGTGATTTACCCCAATTCCATCGGCACAATTCTAACTTTTTTCTTTTGTTCTGCTCAATGTGTCATTTCTAAGGTTATTGGGCTAGGCAAACTCCTCAAGAAGAGAAGGCCTGCCTTGACAGGTAAAGAAGACTGACTACCTCTTATTAATATGACTTCACTTCTGCTATAAATGAAGTGGAAACCTTCCCTTCCCATCACTGACTGCATATTGCCTTCTATGAACTCATGCCTAATTCAGAGGAAAATAAAATAAAATTATAAAACGTATTTAGCGACGATGCGAACACATCAGATTTAGAGATTATATGTGATATTTCATAGGATCAACCACAAGGCAACCAGATTACAACCAGATACCATAATTTTAAGTAACTCAGTGCCTATAGGGCAAGTGTGGTTTGTTTTTTCGCTTTTAGGCGTAGGCCAAGTTGAGGGTGGCAAAAAGATGTTACCGGAGCCTGGATTATATGGGAGTGGCAAGAAACTACCATCTTCTAAGTTGAACGCACCAATCTTAAACATTTGGTAAAGCAAGGATCAGAGAAATAAATGCAGCTCCTTTGACATCCAGGAAAATCCCCAGCAGGAACAGAGAAGCTGCCAAATAGAATGTAAAACTTGTAGAGATTTTCTGGTTTCAGTTTTTCATGTTAACATTGAACCACTTACAATAATATATGTACAAAGAGAGTTGGCTTCCTCTCCAAGCCCCTAAACAGAAACAAACAGCTGGAACAAACAGCTAGTCTTGTCTTCCTCTCCAAGCCCTGGGACTCCTGAAGTCAATCCCCCAATTTAGGGAATTAAGGCTACTAACCTTATCCTACCAACTAGCTCATTAAACTACTAACAAACAAACCAACTAACTAAAAGAAGCAACAGTTATTATTTCCCACACACAATATCCTACCATCCAAACCTTCCATCTCAACCCATTTCCTCTCAACTGCATTCAACTTGTAAACCCTGAATTTAACCGGAAATAAGTATCTCCGGTGTCTTTCCACTAGAAGTATCTCCCCCAGTGACTCCACTAAATTCTTGATGAAATGGACGCTGCTGCCATGATCAGGACTTATCGGAGATGCAATCAGTGTCATCTCCAAGGAAGGATCAACCACCACAGCTGTGCCATTGTGGCAAACAGCATAGAACTTTCCCTCAAAACAAATAACATCTTCAAAAACCTCAGAGGTATCGAACATGGTGCACATTTCAATGTCAGGGCCTAATTTGCAGTGGTATAATTTTCCAGCCGCAACAACCATGATTGCAGGCCAATCAGGGCTCAGTGATATGGCCACTCTGTAACTACTAACACTACGGTCAGAGTGGTACATGGTGTAAGTTTTTGCCAATTCAAATACTCGAAATTCCAACAAGTTTAGTAGCTTTGGAAACACCGACTTGGGCAAACGCTTTATGTGGAAAGAGGAGGAGAGTGGATGTAACATGCTAGGTTCACCTGATTCTCCTTCCCTGAGCCTAACCACCCAACCCCTTGTACTCGGAGTCGAAGCAGAATCATCTGAGTTTATGTTGGGAGGAGGTACTAGATGGTAGACTGTGTCCTCGGTGATGGTCAAGAAAAAGCAGTTAACAGGAAAAGGAAACTTCATCATAATTCTGATGGGAAAACGGGGTTGTTTCTGATCAAAGGGAGGAACAGATGATCGCCATGACCTACAGATGGCACGAAATCGTGAGACATCGGTTTTAGTTTTGAGGCGCTTTCCTACGGCCTCTAATAAGTCGGTTGGAAGATTGTTCCATGGGACGACTCTATCAGCCATTTACACGACTTTGAGAAGTTGCCGCTCTATAATCAGAACAAAACAAGGCATTAAGATGTGTTTCAGAGCACTTGGGTTGTGTCGATCCTCGCCTTAGAAAGCAATGTGTGGCCTGCCTAATCTGATATACACAAGAAAGAAACATTGGTTTCTTCTTGTATTTATAAAGTATTCAAGAGGACTGGCTTTTATAAAATATTGACCCAACATATAATCAGAGACTGCTTTTTTTAAAGGACCTAAGCCAGGTCGAGGTTGACAAAAGATTTTGATTAAACAAGGATCTCTTGAAGATTCTATAAAAACAAAAACAAAAAATGTTTGTCTTTTTAAGATTCTGTCGTACTAGCTCTGCTCCAAACTTTATATATATTACTCCGTTTTAATTTTCTCCCTCTCCAGAAGCAATGGCCAGTGAAAGAGTAGTCCAATGGAACAATCTTCCGAGTGAATTACTAGAGGCCATCGGGAAATCGCCTCGACACCATAATCGACGTTTCTCTTGCAATCTGTCAGTCATGGCTGTCATCTATTCCTCCCTTTGTTCATCAGAAACAGCCCCATTTTCCTATCGAAGTTTACATGGACTTTCGGTTTAGTCTATATCACGTCAACGCTAGGGTTAGTGGCTTTAGAGTGGCCATATCTATGAACCCTTTCTGTCCTGCCCTCATGGTAGTTGCTGCTGGAAAATTATACCATTGCAAATTATTAGGGGTTGACATTGAAACATGTACCTTACTAAAGGATATAAGAACCTCTCAGTTCTATTATAGAGATGTTATTTTTATGAGGGGAAATGATATGCTAGCTGTTGCTGAGGAGCGTACAATTGTAGTGGTTGATTCGTCTTTGGTGATGACAACGATTGCACCTCCGGTAAGTCCTCCTGGTGGTGGCAGTGAGGTTGGTCGCCCTAAGAACTTGGTGGAATCATTGGGGAAGACACTTTTAATTGATATATTCCTTTCGGGTTCAAGGTTTACAAGCTGAAAGCAGTTGATGGGAAGCAATGGGTTAAGATGGGAGGTTTGGAATTGGATGGTCAGATATTGTTTCTTAGAGATAATTGTTACTCCTCAGTTTCTGCTCAAGATTAATTAGTAAGTTAATACGGTATTACTAAACTTAAACAGAATGATGATATCAAGTAATCCTTGTTTAATGTAGATGAGCCACACTGTGATGTCATGGGGGTTCTAATGCATGTTATGCTCTTTTTGGGTTGGCTCGAAAAAATCAAAAATAAAAACCCTTTGGGCCATTTAGTTTGTATTTTGGGCTCTGACGGGCCCTTTTGTTTTGGCGAAAATGGTCCATCACTCACTTCCCCGAGTTCATAAAAGTGCAAAAAGAAAAGCGTCTATCAGCTCATCCCACTCTCTCACTCACATTTTCATCTCTGCAAATCCAAACCCAGCGCAACATCTTCAGACTGAAAGGTAGAACAAGTTTTCAAATTTTTGGGCACAGCGTGTCGTGTATACGGTTCTAAAGTTTCAATTTTTTTCCCTTTTCATGAAGTTTGATGTCGTTTCAGCGCTCCCTGGTTTCAGTTTTCATTGATGCTTTTTGGGTGAATAAATGTCTCAAAACTTGCATTTGAATGATGGGTTTCATCTATTTCTAGCTTTAAATAGCAACCGTTTGCATAGGAATTGGGCTTACCTTGTAGTTGTTCTTTCAGTGAATATTGGCTCTTTTTGAATGATGGGTTTATCTATTTATTTTGGAGAAATCGCATGCCTTGTTTGTATATAAATTATATTGATAATTAGTTTGCATTTTCTTAAATCTGAGAGGTTTGCTCAAACTGCACCAGCACAATTATTTTTTTTTTATTTTTTTTTTGGCTCAATATATGCCATTTTTTGTTGTTGAGGTTATTGATGTTTATGGCAGGCATGGTTTTCTTGAGCTGGGTTAGGCCAAGTCCTGAAGAACAAAAGGCTTGCATTGGCAGGTAAAAAAGACTGCTCTTAACTTGATATGATTTCATTTGTGTTATCAAGGAATTTGAAACATTGTGTGAACTCATCATGCCTGCTGCTTATAACCAGGTCAGGTAGCTTTAACTATGAGGCTAAATTCAGGGGAGCTACTGCTAAGTCCCTGTCTTCCCTCCAAGAAGACAAGGGGCTCTCAAACAATGGTTTCTTGTTCAACCATGCGCGCGTTTTGGTTGGTTCTGGTGTTGACACTTATGAAAAGGGCAAGAGAGCTCTTCAGGACTGGAGGTCAGCCCATGTTTAATTCTCTACATGTAAAGAAATCTCAGTTGAGAAGGACAACTTAATCTTATGGCTGGTTGTGTGTGGTTTGGCAGACATTTTGGACTGAATTGGGCATTTGTTGATCCAAAGACGCCGGTTCAAAATGGAGTTAAGTTCTGTGTTTGCGTCAAGGAGTTTCTGCCATGGGTCATGATGCCTCTTCAGGTTGTATATGTAAATGAAAATAGACCTAGTAAACAGTCCATGGCCTCTTTTCGTTTCGGAGGTGGTACCCTTCAAGGCCACTTGCTGGTTAGTTTTTGTTCACTTAGTTGAATTATATTTGTGTGTTTTTGGTTTCAAATGAAATATATGAATCCTCTGATTTGTGGTCTGCAAATTTTGTGCAAAACAGGCTGGGGAAGAACGATTCTCAATCGAACTGGATGAGAACAACCAAGTGTGGTACGAAATACTTTCCTTCTCAAAACCAGCTCACCCTTTGTCATTTATTGGATACCCATACGTAATGCTTAGGCAAAAGTACTTTGCTCATCAATCTTCTAATGCAATTATGAAACATTTGAATGCTTTGAAATCCTAGTGCATGTATATATGCTAGTGGAATTCTGCTTATATAAAAGCTTCATTGCCCTTTCTTATCTTCTTTATAAGTTTAACTGTTCTGAACAAGTCATAACTAGCACAAAAAACTACGCTATAATATTTGTTTGAAGCAACCACATTAAAATGAGAGTACATGTTAAAATAAAATATCAAAATCTGCAGTAGGTTATGCCTAAACTCACAATCTCCATCCAGCTCCGCATATAGATCAGGCCTTTGGCCATGTTGGGGATGGGCAAAAGATAATAGCAGAGGCTGGATATGTTCGCAGGACGACGCAGCGACCATTGAAGTTGCTCTATCTACCTTTACATGTGGCCTATTACATGAAGAGAGATAGGGATAAGGAGGCACTGCAAGGTTGACAACTAAATTTCTCTCTCCTTAAAGCTCATAATCGGCGTCCAGCTTTGCACCGATCAAGCTTGGGGAAGTTGGAGATTGTGATACTTCAGTCAAGCACTGAAAGATCCAAAAAAAACTACCTATAGTAAACCACATTACATGAAACAATAAATTTTCAAAAAAGAAATTACAGTAGTGTGTCAAAACTCACATGACCATCCAACTTAGCACCGATCTAGCCGCCAAGATCTAAGTCTAATTTTCTTTTTTTTTTAATTTTCTTGAAAACCAAGTCCAAACCCAAACCCGACGCCAAATCTTCTTCTTCCTTTTCTTTTCCTTGCTTGACAACCAAGTCCAAGTTGGGGGTGGGCAGAAGATATTATCACAGCTTGGATAATATGTTAGGGGCAAGTGACTGCCAAAATCTAATCGGAAAACTCCCATCTCACTAAACATTCCTCCAAACTCACCCTCCATATTATTCTTCATGTAAAAGAAATTAGAGAAATAAATGCTATTTCCCTCGCATCCTGGAAAATCTCTAGCAGAAACAGAGAAGCAGCTGTCATCCCCCACGAGCAATATTCGATCGCTCAAAGCATCCCTCTCATCAACCTCAATCCATTGATTTTCAGCTGTGTTCAACTTAAAAACCTTGAATTTAAGCTCAATGTCGAGCCACTTGTCTAAATAACTATCTTCTCCCATTGTACTCGGATACCTATCGACTAAGAGCAACTCCCCCAACGACTCCACCAAACTCTTCTTGTGATCACCGCCCAAACAAGCTAATATTGGCGGCGCAACTACTTTCACATTCAGACAAGAATCAACCACTAGAGCTTGTCCGTCCCGGCAGACAGCGTAGAACTTCCCTTCGTAAAAAATAACATCTTCATAATCATAATGTTGATCATGATCCAACTGAGAGACCTCAATGCAGTTGTTAACGTCGACATCTAATTCACCGCGGTATAGTACTCCATCGACAATTATCATGACCGCAGGGAAACTGAGATTCATGGACAAGGCCACCTTATTATTACGGTCCCACCAACCCCCATCATGTATGCTGTAAACTCTTGCATATTCAAAAACCCTAAATTCCAATAGGTTAAATACCTTTGGGAATGTGTGGGGCAGTCTCCCAACAACAAACTGGGAGAGTGGATGCAACATACGAGTTTCACCATATTTTCCTTCTTCAACCTTAACCAACCAACCTCTTTTAAGAGGATCGTCTCTAGGAGGCGCAAGATGAAAGACAATGCTCTCGGTTAGGGTAAAGGTGGTGTTGCTGCCATTGGTGTTTCGAATGAGAACTTTGATGGGAAATTGAAGCTGCTTTTCGAAGTGAGGGATGGAGGACCGCAATGACTTGCACACCGCACGAAATCGAGAAACATCTGTTCTAGTGTTTAGGCACTTTCCTATGCTCTCTAACAATTCACCTGGGATTCTACTCGCCATCCAGGATGATTTTCTTGGTGATTGAAGCTCATTTGAGACTAAAGTTAAAACTAAATACAGAGGGAAGCAAGTCTTGAGCAGAACATCAGCTTTCATATTTGAATAAGAATCTCAAGAGAATTGGAAAGTTTGGTCCCGGATTATAGGGGTTGATAGATAGAGTCCTACTTGTTTTGGTATTATAGTTATGGGAAGGAAAAAAAACAGAATTAATGCGTACAATAAATAGTTGTTTTGGTGGCATTATGGTTAGTCAAAACAATATTTTAATTGGTTACGATTTTGGTAACAAATATTGTTGAGGATTTGTATGTTACTTTAAGCAATTGGTAAATGCATTTTTACCACACAATTCCTCAACTACCCTTTTTCCATAATCTCCATCCGAATCATAATCGCCATCCGACTCATCCTGGCCGTCCAACTCATACTGGCCGTCCAGCTCATAATCCCCATACAACTTATAGCAAGGCCTAGTCCAAGTTGGGAGAGGGCAAAAGATTTTAAGAGAACTTGGATCATCAAAATCGAAGTTGAACTCTCCAATCCGGTTGAAGGGTCTTCCTAACGCATTGTACCTATAATGATGTTCCCCAAGAACCTTGGAAAATCTCTAGCAGAAACACTTCTCAACGGCATTCAACTTGAAAACCTTGAATTTGAGCTTACTTGTGCCGCAAGAGGGCGGACATCTATCAACTAACAGCAGCTCCCCGGATGACTCCACCAAATTCTTCTTGCGATAGCCGGCAGAACAAGCTACCGCAGACGCAATTGCTGTCACATTCAGACAAGAATCAACTGCGAAAGCTTTTCAGTCCTGGCAGACAACATAGAAGTTTCCTTTGTGGAAAAGAACATCTTCATAATCATTGCAGTCGGGATCCAATGAAGAAACTTTGATGCACTTTTTATTGTCAACACCTAATCTTCCATAGTGCAATGCAATCTTCGATGGCCAATGACTAAGACATTGACCGCGGGGGAATCAGCTGAGAATTGGAAAGTTTGGCTGTAGAATTAATGACTATTGAGTTATGTATTGCCTGCATAATACATACATAAACCCTTTTTTGGTAAAAATCTCATATTGTAATTGGTTGAAGATCTGTTGGGTTTCTTATGATCTGCTGCAAACCTGGCATATAATTTGAGGGATAGAAAATAAATAATTTTAAGCTGCACATTTCAAACACAATGATTCTTATTTGATATAAAGTGATACAATTGTCAATTGCAGGAAAGTTGGAGAAAAAAGAAGGGAAGTACTCGTAACAAAAAATATGAAATTTTAAACTTAACATGGATCAACAGCCCAACTCATGCACAAGTTCAAGTCCTTTTCTTTTGTTTCTTTCTTTTCCTGCTTCCAAATTCGTGTCCAAATCCAAGTCTTCTTGTTTCCTTTTCCTTTGTTGTTGGCTTGGCAACCAAGTCCAAGTTGGGGGTGGGCAAAAGATGTTGTGAAAATTTGGACAATCCGTTAGGGGTAAGCAAGTGCCAGAATCTAAGCAGAACACTCCAATTTGGTTCAACATGCTTCCTCTTCCTAACGCGCTTGTGCGATTATAATGATCATAGAAATAAATGCAGCTCCCCCTGCACCCTGGGAAATCTCCAGTAGAAACAGACAAGCAGCGGTTGTGCCCCGCCACCAATATTCGATCACGCAAAGCTTCCGCCTCAGCCTCAACCCATTGTTTCTCTTCTGCATCCAACTTGAAAACCTTGAATTTAATAAGGTCAGTAGTCATGGGTGGCTTGTCTGCATAGTCAGAATCAGAAGAATCTTCACCATGAACGGGGTTCCGTGCTGCCGCCCTTTGACGAAATATTTCTCTGGCCACAAGAGTACTTGGATCTACTTGCTCCCACGACTGCTTCTTAGAAGAAACTTCATCAAAAGAATCAAAATCTTCTGAATCTGATGAAAAATCAGAATCTTCTGATGAAGAATCAGAATCTTCTGATGATGAACCAGAAGAAGGGGATTGTTCTGTATCCCAATATCTATGAACCAAAAGCAACTCCCCGGATGACTCCACCAAATACTTCTTGGAATTAAGGCCAAAAACACCTTCTATTTGAGACGCGATCACCGTCACATCAAGAGAAGAATCAACCACTACGGCTGTTCCATTCCGGCAGACAGCATAGAACTTTCCTTGATAAAAAATAACATCTTCATAAAACGAGTGTTCACCACCCAACCGAGAGACTTGGATGCACTTTTTACTGTCAACGCCTAATTTTCCATTCCATAATCTTCTCATTCCCACCATCATGACCGAAGGGAAATCGAGATTTAAGGACATGGCCACCCTAGTATTACCAAACCGTCGATCCCTTAAACGTAGGCCATATACTTTGGCCACCTCAAATACCCGATATTCCAATAAGTTGATTAACTTTGGATATGAGTCGGGCAACTGCTTTATCATAAACTGGGAGAGTGGATGCAGCATATGATGAGTTTTGCCCCATTCTCCTTCTCTGACATAAATCAACCAACCCCTTTCGCAGGGATGGCCGGCGGGAGGTGCAAGATGATAGAGTACGCTTTCGGTGAGGGTGAAGCTGGTTCTATTAGCAACAACTTGGATAGGGAATTGCAGAGGAAGCTGTTTTGCAAAGGGGGGAAGAGAGGATCGCCATGACTTACAGACCGCACGAAATCGAGAAACACCAGTTTTTGTGTTGAGACGCTTACCAATTCTCCCTAATATATCATCTGGTATATTGCTCGCCATCCCTAATAATTATGGTGGTGATCCGCCTTGTATATAGTTTGTTAAGTTCAACAATAACATATAGGATGCTCAAGGTTATTTAATGCGCTGGTGAAGCAAAAAAAAAAGTCCTATGAGAATTGGGATTCTTGAATGGCTGATTTCTTGCGCAACAAGCAAGTCAAGGCCACCAGTTAGCTTTCCTTTCTATTTTTGTGTCATTGAGAAAAATTAGCTTTTATATCTCAAAACGAGTCCTATGAGAATTGGAAGTTCACTCAATAACTTCTCCATCCACAAATTCCATATTTGATGTTGATGGTAGAAAAGTTGGAGGAGAAAAGAAGAAAAACTTAAACAAAAATAAATATTTATTTTCCTCATTTTCCTAGGTATCAAAGGAGGGAAACCAAATATTTATAGAGGTCTCCTACAATTATAGTATTAAATATTGTTTATGTTTGGAAACACGAGTTTGAGCATCCGCCTGCGTCGTGGGCGGACCTAGGAAGGGGCTCAAGTGGGCTTAAGTCCAGTGCAGATTTTGTACTTTAGTCTTTATTGTACAACAAAATTCACTATAATTAAATATTAGCCCACTTATCTTTTAGAATTCAGCCTATCCTAGCCATCCAAATCAGATTTTTTTTCTCTTCTACCCACTGAAATTCTACCATATTTTCGATAAAAAAAAATATAGAATCCTTCCATATAATATTTATAATTAGCCCAGAAATTCCTGATTATAAAAGATCCCTCAAAATATAAAAATTTAGCCCACTTCTAGAAAAATTCTTCGGTCCACCGTTGCTATGTGATATTCTCAATACAATTTTATAAAAACTATATGTCATCGCTTTCAGATTTTAGAGGATAGAGAAGAATTCAGAGTTATATCGGACATATGTGAAAGGTCCAGAATGTTTATGGATGATGAGTTCTACTACTTGGCTGACCTGCCTTGAGTTTTGAAAATCCTTCATTGCAGGACGAGGGCGCTGTTATGAACTTATGATGTTGTTTTCGTCGCATTTTATAAATAAATATATAAAAGGAATAACAATCAACCATACATGTAATAATAACTAGCCCCTTGGCACGTGCTCATGCATGTGCCAATTGATTTTCTTTTTTTTTTATTTTTTTATTTTTAGAATTAAGAAAATGTAATATAGGTAGTTATGTTCCATAAAAGTATGACCTATTATCTGATTTGTTTTTAATTTTAATTTTTTTTAATATGAAAAAATGTGAATTTACCATATTATCCTCATTTAATTAATAATTTCATTTCTTAATGTTTGAATTAACCAAGGGCATTTTCTAGTATTTTGAATGTTTCACTATTCTCTGCATTTTGCTTATATATATATATGTACGTATATATATGTACTAATAATTAAATTTATTAAAATTTAAATTTTTTTTAAAAAAGGGAATAACTTGGTATCAATCAAGAGGCCAACTTCATGTCCTTTTGCTTTGTTTTATCTGTTTATTTTCTTTTTTTGGCTTTGGCTTCCAACTTCAGCCTAAGCAGAGACTGAAGATAGTCCTAGATAAGAAAGGAGAGAGAGAGAGAGAGAGAGAGAGAGAGAGAGATGAGAGATGAGATGAGATTTGAAAAATGGAGAGAAGATAGTCCTAGATAAGAAAGGAAAAAATAGAGAAAGAGAGCTGCATATTTAAAGAATTTTTTTTTTGAAGAGGTAGAGTTATTACATGTTCCTATGAGAATTGGAAAGTTGGCTTGAAACTTTTGTATCAACAACTTCCATATTTGATGGGAGAAAACTGAGAGGAGAAAAGAAGAAAGACTTGTACAAAAATAAATAACGCGCCATAGTGAAGCAAATGGTGAGGGTATATAATATTGAGTCATAAAAATATAGCTTTTGCCAATGTGCTACAATCTCTGCTCTAGTTATCTAAGCTCTGTGAAGACACTTGTATGTGATAGAAAAACAAAAACTAATCAGAAATCGCTCTAGACATGTCCACAAACAAACATGAACTAAACAAAATCTTCAGAAAAGATATCGAGCTGAAGCACGTTAACCTGTTCTGCACTTACGAGTGTTATCAAACTAAACCATAGATAGACTAAGGAGCATCTGCTACTGCTAGACTGCTGGTGATGCAGCATCCACCAATGTGGATCAATAATGATCTTAGTTCGACTGATTTCCAGAAACACTCTATGATCCGGGAATCGGTGCAATAACCATAAATATTGTGAATCTTGCTGAAGAACAGAGAAAGATTTCCACATGAAGCTACACAATTGAATTAAAGTTTTATTAATGGCTTTTTGTTTCTGTGAATTATTGATTGGTTATGAAGTTTTGAATTATCGAAAATAATCCCCGACTTTTGGGAATAAGCCCATCGAAACATATCAAAACAAAAATTAAAGAGGGAAAATTCGAAGAACAATCATACAACAGATTCAATTATCATATTACGAATAGCTCAAAATTTACAATCGCCATCCAAACTTAGCATCGATCAACAGACCAACTTCATGTACTTTTGTTTGCTTTCTCTTCATGTCCAAGTCCAAGTCCAAGTTTTGTTGTTTACTTTGTCTTTGTTGTTGGCTTGGCAAGTTGGCAACCAAGTCCAAGTTGGCGGTGGGCAAAAGATGTTTTGAAAACTTGGATAATCTGCCAGCGGCAACCAAGTGCCAGAATCTAAGCAGAACACTGCGGTTTGGCTCAGCATGCTTCCTCTTCCTAACGCAATTGTACGATTATCTAGATTGTAGAAATAAATGCAGCCCCCCCTGCACCCTGGGAAATCTCCAGTAGAAACAGAGAAGCAGTGGTCGCTCCCCACCACCAATATTCGATCACGCAAAGCTTCCGCCTCAACCTCAACCCATTCTTTCTCATCTGCATTCAATTTATAAACCTTTGCAGAAGAACCAGAAGAAGAATCAGAATCCTCGTCATGAGCTGGGTGGACAACTTCAGCTGGTGCTGGCGCTTGCGGCAGCCCCTCGTAAGAAGAATCTTCATCATCAGCCGGCTTGGCAAGTTCAGCCGGTGCTGGCACTTGCGGCAGTGCAAGAACAAATTCACCAAGTACGAGTGAGTCGCGATAGTTAGCTCCACTCGAAAACCCACCCTCGTGGGTAACTTCAGCAGGTGCTGGCGCCAGCGAGAGCTCCTGGTAAGAAGAATCAGACTCTTCATCAGAAGAATCAGAATCTTCACCGGAAGAGTTACAAGAAGAATAAGAATCTTCACCAGATAAACGAACCAAAAGAACCTCCCCGGATGACTCCACCAGATAATTGAGGGTAAAACGACCTTTTATTGGAGACGCGATCATCATCACGTCAAGAGAAGAATCAACCTCTACGGCTGTTCCATTATAGCAGACAGCACAGAACTTTCCTTGATAAAAGATAACATCTTCATAAATGGAACGTTCACGAGTCAACGGAGAGACTTGGATGCACTTTTTTCTGTCAACGCCTAATTTTCCATACCATAACATTCCCCGTATCACCATCATGACCGCAGGGAAATCGAGATTTAAGGACAGGGCCGCCTTACCACAAAACCAGCAGTCATCCCTAAAACGTGGGACATATACTTTGGCCACCTCAGATACCCGATATTCCAATAAGTTGAGTAACTTTGGATACGAGTAGGGCAACTGCAGAACGGTAGACTGGGAGAGTGGATGCAACATATGATGAGTTTCACCCTTCTCTCCTTCTTTGACACAAATCAACCAACCCCTTTCACGGGGATAACCGGTGGCGGCGGGAGGTGCAAGATGATAGATTACACTCTCGTTGAGGGTGAAGCCGAGGGAGCACTTCTTAGTGACGACTTGAATGGGGAATTGCAAAGGGAATTGTTTTGCAAAAAGAGGAAGAGAGGATCGCCATGACTTACACACAGCACTAAATCGAGAAACGTCGGTCTTTGTGTTGAGGCACTTGCCGATGCTCTCCCATAACTCATCTGGTATTCTGCTCGCCATCCTTAATATTTTAGAATTGTATGTTGTTTTATGTTTAAGAATACATAGGGCAGATGGGTTATTTAATGTCCTGGTGAAGCACAAATAGTCCTATGAGAATTGGGATTCTTGAATGATCAATCAGTTCTTTTTTCTTTTCTTTTTTACTTTATTGTTTTCTCATTGAGAAAACTTAGCTCTTGTATCTCAAAGCGAATCCTACGAGAATTGGCAAGTTTTCACTCCAAATTTCTATATCCTCAACTTCCATATTTGATTGGAGAAATTTTTTTTTTTTTTTTTTTTTGGGGGGGGTGGTGGTGGTTGTGTGTTGGGGGAGAGAAGGAGAGAAAAAATAAATAACACAGCATAGAAGAAGCAAAATGGAGGTATGACGTTAATATCAGGAATATTATTGAGTCAGAAAGTGCTACAATCTGCTCTAGTTATCTAAGCTCTAAACAAACATGAACTAAAGAATCTTCAGATAAGATATTCAAGTTGAAGCAAATGCCGTCAAACTAAAACGTAGAAAGGTCTCATCCTGAGTTAACGGAACATCTGCCACACACAGCTAGACTGCTAGTGATACCATCCTCCAATGTGGCTCAATCATCTTGGTTCAACACGATTTTCAGAAACACTGTATGATCTGGGAATTGGTGAAACTCGCGCGACACCCCTTAAATCTTGTGAACTCTTGAACAAAAACAGAGAAAGATAATCACCACCGAACACCCACAACACTTGACTTTTCACCCAGATGCTTTCTTCCATATGTGAACTGAACTTTAAAATCTTGTATTTGACAACCTTGACACTTTCAGCTACAGACAGCTACCAAAACTTCCTGTGACTACCAACCAACACCGGATGTTGAAAAATGCGATCTGTCACTTCCAAAGATGAAATAAACGTGACTGCTCTCCCAAAGAAGAATTAACCATCTTCAATCTCCCCAGCAAGTCAATGAGTGCAAACCTGCAGAAAAAGAAAAAAAACAATAACTAGTGAGAGCATCAAAGTATCAATGTGAAGCATTTCTTATTGCAATTTTGGTTGCAACATCATTGATAAATTTTTCATAATCAATATTTTCTAGAAGATCATTTTCAACAGAAATCAAATCTCGTCCATCTAATTTTTCTTGTGATATTGGCGATTGCAAGTAAGATTTTAGTAACTTCAATTTTGAAAAACTACTTTCTGTAGATGCCAATGTAACAGGTACAGTCAATAATATTCTATAAGCAATGCATGCATTTGGAAGACCTAGTTCTTTTATGAAATTTAGTATTTCAAGGGCTGTCATTTTTTCTTTTGGTAAATTCCCTCGTAAGAATTTTAGTTCTTCAAATAAATCATTTCCATCAACATCACAAGATTTTCCATGCTTTAGACTGAATTCAAGATGACCACAACAAGATTTCAAATTATTATCATCCAATGAATTTAACTTCTCTGAACTAAACAACCCAAAAACATCCTCATACGCCTGAAACTGTTCAAACATTCTCTTCAATAAACCTATAACTTGATCCACTATATGTAAGAAATAATGAATTCTAAAGGATTCTTCAACAGATTCAGTAGATGATTCATTGACATTCGCAGCATGGTTCTTTCTACGGGTTTTACAAGTTTCACTAAACACATAATCAATTTCCATTTCAGTAGCAATTCCTTTAGCAACAGTCATGGCCTGTGTAAACCCTGTTTCTTTATATTCTTCAAAGAAATTAATCAGCCTTTTTACCTCATCTATAGCAACATCAATAAGCATGTCTTTAGATTCTAAGTATTTGCTAACAGAGTCAACAACAGAGAGTATGTCAAACCAAATAATCATGCGTAAAAAAACTCAAAATCAAATCCATATATTGCTAAAGAAAGAGCTTGGCACCTCACTTTGAGGTCAGGCACAGTTTCTGCTAATTGAAGTAAAGCTTCTCTTACTTCTAGAGCATGGAGTCTTATTGCTCTAACACTTTCAATTTCACTCTCATAATGTGGGATCGTTAATTGCTCAAGAGTTAAACCTTTTACATTATCTTCCAAAATTTTCCAACACTTTGAACAATGAGAAAACAATGTATAAATATTTTGTATCACTCCAAAAAAATATTTTGCTTCACTACAAGAGTCTAGAATGTCACAAAGAGTTAAGTTTAGACTATGACAACCACATGGCATATACCATGCTCTACGATTTATATCTAAAAGCTTATTCTGTACACCTTGGTCTCTCCCTCTCATATTAGATCCATGGTCATATCCTTGTCCTCTTACATCGTCAAGATTAAGGTCAAGAGATTTTAACACACTTTGCAATTCTTCAAAAAGTCCTTGGCCCGAACACACATTTAAAAACCCTAAAAAGTACTCTTCTATTTTTGTTGGACTTGTAGAAACATCTACAGATCGTAACAGCAAAGAAATTATTTTTTCGTCATTTGAATCAAGAGTACAATCAAGAATCACAGAAAAATACTTTGCTTCCTAATTTTTTTTATGATTGCACTTTTGATTTCAGAAGCTAACAAAATTATCAACTCTTGAATGTTACGACCTAGATAATGACAATGAATCTCATTGTTTTGAACACGTCCAATATGCATTTGCATTACTTGATCCCAGACTGCGATCATTTCAATTTGGGTAAAAAAATTTCCACGATCATTTTGATAAATCCTGTCATTTGTTCCAAAGAATGTGAACTTATGTTTAACAAGAAATTTCACAACTGAAATGATTCTTGGCAACACATTTCTCCAGTGTTGTTTCTCCTGGTCAATCTTGTCAGGAACTATTTTACCAACCGTTTCATTTTTCTCCAATGTAAGACGCACATCCTTCCAAGTGATCATGTGAAAGATGTGCTCAATGCTTGTTTCATGTTCTTTGAGCAAAAGACTAAGTTGTTCCCAGTCTCCATATCCTTCATTGCTAACTGACATTTTAGGGGCAAAGGTTTAAACAACTTGCAACAAAAACAAAATACTTTATCAACATCCTTTGAATAAACTAGCCATTCTCTATCACGTTTCTCTCCATTTGGTAAATAACGAGTGTAAAATGTTGAAGAGAAACATCTAGAGGATTTATCTTTTGGGCCTTTCTCCCCAAAAAGATCTCTTCTAGGCCCTTTTTCAACTAATAGATCTCTCAGTTTTGTACTGAGATTCTCCCAATTACTTGGATCATAAATGTCCAAGGGAATGGACTGAGAGGTTGTTCATTGACTAAATTAGAGACATCATCATTTTCAACATGATCTCCTAAATCATCAACATGTTTAATTTTTCTCTTATTTCTGCATTTATCATATCCCAGTGGTTTCATAGGAAGCATTTTCACAGTAAAAGAAATCACAGTGAAAGAAGTCAGAACGATAGAACCTGGAACGAAGACACAGCGTGGTCTGCGTGAGGAAGTCAGAAGATAATTCTTAACTTCATAACCTGATAAAACAATGAACAAGATTAATTTCAAGAAGCAAAGTTAAAAACCCAATTCTAATATTCAGAAACAGTTAGCATCCAACTCCTAGTTATCCATTGAATCACAGAAACATTTAAGATACAAATCACATCTTCAAACACAGACATATATTTTCGCATCGCAAAACTCTGTTTCGTAATCAAATCAAATCTCATACAGCAAAAAGCAGCTTGACAAAGTCAAGAATATTGTCTAAATAATTCAAGAAGACACATTGCAGTTCAAAATCAGCTCTCGGATACACAAGCCACAATATATCAAAGCTACTAATCCAAATCACGCCCACTGTGAGAGAGAGAGAGAGAGAAAGAGAGAGATAAACCATACCTTGAAAATCACCAAATTTTCGGAACTCTTCTGACGGAGTGACCAACCGATAAGAAGAAATCTAATGAAAAAATAAGGAAATAAAGAGTTTCAGATACAAATCAAACGAAAATTTAGACGAAATTAGAAAATGTGGAAAAATAAATAAAGATTTGTGCCTCACCACCGGTAAGAGGGCTGAGAACCTGAGAGAGTGAGAAAGAGAGCAATTCCACAGAGAGAGAGAGAGAGAGAGAGAGAGAGAGAGAGAGAGAGAGAGGATCAGTTCAATTTCTTTTATATTCTCGATAAAAATCTAAGCTCAAACGGTCAAAAAAAATCGGGCTGCCGTCTAGAACTGGGCCTGCAATGTAGAAGTGGCATTTCTTTCTGGGTTTACCCATTGGGCTGTAATAATTATGATGGGTGTTTTCGTCTTTTAGGCAAAACTTTTCTTTTGGGGTCAAATTAGGCCGAAACCGGAAGTCTTTTTTTTTTTTCTTTTTTTCTTTTTTTCTTTTTTGGGGATCAAAATTAGGCCGAAGTAATATGATGATCTTGAGCAGCACCCAAGAATTTGATCTCCGCACCTATTCACAAAATTTCACATCGATCCCTTGTTCATTTCGTGTCAACGTTTTAAAGATTTTCAAAGAGATTAAGGAAAATTCATGGGGCAAAGTTGGAAGTGAAGGAAAATTCTTGGGTGCAGAGAGAAATTAGAAAGTCTCTAACATTGAAATAAATCAAAATTTTGGATTAAAAAGATATTTTATTTTGTAAATAGCATGTGACATGGACTGTTACCACATAACTCAACATGGAGAACGAGCTTATGCAAACAAGATCCAACACTTGTGCATAACTAAACATCCCATCAATTCAACTCAAGAGCCAGCATACAAAAATTTGTTATGACAACCGAATGAAATTAAGCTATAGGTCTAAAAAATACGGAGAGATAGAGAGTGTGATAAGATATGAAACAAAGGAGAGGACGTGATGAGATTTGAAGAAAAAAAATAGAGAGAGAGAGAGAGAGAGAGAGAGAGAGAGAGAGATTTGAAAATTGGAGAGGATATAGTTCTAAATTAGAGAAAGAGAGCTGCATATTTAAAGAAAAAAATTGAAGAGATAGAGTCAATAGCATAGAGAAATTAAAAACTCTCCAAGAATGAAATAAATAAAATTCTTAGATTAGAAAGATATTTTCTTTTGTAAATAACATGTGACATGGAGCTACTAAGTGCATAACCACTTTACTGTTACTACATTACTCAAAATGGAGAACGACCTAATCCAAACCAGATTGAACGCTTATACATAACTAAGGAGCCTAACAATTCACCCAACTCAAGCTAACATACAAAAATTTGTTATGACAACCAAATCAAATAAGCTAGCAACAAACACATTCGAAAACCTAAGTCCTATGTCTACAAAATATGGGGATATAGAGAGAGTAATAGGATACGAAACAACGGAGAGGACGTGATGAAATATGAAAAAATACGGAGAGAGATGAGATTTGAAAAATATAGTTATAGATATGAAAAGAAAGAAAAAAAAATTAAAGACAGAGTTTTTGCAGACTCATGAAAAAGAAAGAGAGACAAGATGGAGGTGAGGTAGAAACCATTGTCACATGGGTTCTGTTCTTACCTATGGGAAAAAGAAAAGAAAATATATATATATATATATTACGTACTACTATGTAACTTGAAAACTTGTCAAATACCTATTTATAATTGATCATTTCTTCCTGATTGCAAAAGATAATAAGCATAAAGTCAATTCATTATTATTTCATTCAGAATAACAAAAGATAATAAGCATAAAATCCGATGCTAATATAACTGGAAACTTGAAATTCATAGACCTCCAGTTCAAATTAACTTAAAAACTGACTGAAACTGTTCCATAAGTTCTCTCCTTAACTGCACTCCTGCGAGCCCTGGTTTATTTGATAACATGGCATGGCAGGACCTCCAAATCTCTGAAACTCCAGAGCTCTCTCACACTTCACCTGTCAAGATCATGTCACGAAGCAATCAAACACAAAAACAAACAAAAAACCACAAGGAGAGAGAAGGCAGAGCAATTGCTTACAGAAGCTAAGGCGGGGAAGGCCAATATATCTCGGCAAAGAATGGAGCTCCTGCAGCATTTACAACGCTAATGCTATGGTCTGCCAAGTTGAAAACCGAACCATCCCCAACAGTGCTCAAGCTTCTCAGCGCCAGAGGATTCTCCCGGTGATCGGAGAAGTAAATGCAGTTCCTTGAGCACCCAACAATGTCTTCAGCCGAAACAGAGAACGAAAAATCAACGTTCAAGAAGAATGCTTGGTCATCCAAGTTCTGCACTTCATCCCATCTCCCCCTCTCTTGATCCAACTTATAAACCCTGAAATTAACGGTATTCAGCGGACACTCGTCGATTGCATCAGGCCAACCATTCCCTTGATACCGAATAAAACGATAGAAACTGGTAACCGGGTCTGGTCTTGCATTCGGGTCCGCCACCATGTACCTGTCAACCAGATAAAGATCTCCGCAGCTCTCGACCAGATGCTTCTTGTGCCCAAAACAGACCAACCGAGGCGCGAATTGAACCACTCCCAGAGTCGGGTCGACCAGGAAAACCGTGCCCCATTTGTCTACAACGTACGGCCGGCCCTTGTAAACAATCAGATCACTGTAACTAGAAAACCGATTGCCGATGCTTCTCAAACGCTCGTCCCCATTCTGAGCAAAACCCAGTTTTCCTTTGTGGTGAATGACGAGAATTGAGCAGGGTTCAGAGTGAGGGAGCTCAATGACTTTGCTTACGCGATCAACGTAGGCAGAGCCAGCTGAGTTTTTGAGAGTGTAGGCTTGGCCCAGCTCCACTATCTTATAATTTAAAAAGTTCAGTTGCTCTGGGTAAAAGTCCTCCCCGCACCTCAATTGGCGGTTGGTGATGGGGTGAAGAAGGCGCAGGTTCTGGTTGCACTCTTCTAGTTTCAGGAGCCAGCCCTTTGGGGAAGATGATGATGAGGATGGTGATGACGTGGAGGCGTAAGGAAATGGGTTGGTTCGGAGGAGGTGGAGAGTGGTTCGGGCGAGGGAGGCTTTGGAGTGGAAGGAGAACGGGTATGGGAATTCTGTAGGAATGGAAGGGTGGAATCGGGGAATGGAATGGCGCCAGGAGTAGGAGACGCTGCGAAATCGCAGCCGTTCGATGAAAGGTTTGAGCTGCTGGCCGATCCGGTGCCAGAGCTCATCTGGGAGTTTGGACCAGTCCACTGAACAGGGGGCTCTGGAATCCATGGTAGGGCCTCTGTTTCTGTTGACAGATGATGACATGCAGAAAGAGAGAGTGAGAGAGATAGTGAGAGTTTCAGTCAAGGAGGCAGAGGTGATGGTAGGACCATTGTCCAAGAACGTAAACCTTTTATACTGCAATTCTAGGGTAAACAAATTTGTTTTTCTCAAATTTAGTCATCAAATCATCTGGAATTTTGCTCCCGAACCGGAGCTCTTCTCCGGTCGGGAGCTTAGTTAGCGAATTAGTCTGCTAATCAACTCAACCAACAAAGAATTAATGTTTTCTGAGACATTTTAAGATAATTCGAGGTTAAGTAATGTTTAACAAATAAATGTAGTTCCTTCCTCTATTTGATAAATGACGCTTATGATTTTGATTGGTGATCGATAAATGGCGGGAAACCGACATGCTTATTTATTTATTTTATTTTTTGCTTTTAAGAGTGACAAAATTTACAAAGTCTAACTTTAAACAAAGGTTCTCACTTCTCTCCACGTTGATAATTGGTCTAAATCATAAATGACGGCGACAGTCATCCATCCGAGTGGATGAGTGAAGGAGGGTGAGATGCAAGGAGATAGAGCAAGGAACTATTTGAATTATAATGTTGTCATGCTTCATTATTAATTGATTATACTTAAAAAAATTTGAGTTCATTCGAAAAATATATATATATATATTTGAAATTGATAATGTGGTAAATAATGACGTCAAAATTTGATATTGTAGAATCATGTATTTGTTTTCTTTTAAGGCAAGAAACTAGATAAGGTAAATTAAATACCATTTACAGTCATTTGCCAGACAAAAATACCATTAGCACACCATTCACACCCACTCACCAAAAAAATACCATTCACACCCACTCACCAAAAAAATACCATTAGCATTTAGCACTCACTTACCAGAAAAATATACTATTAATACTCATTTACCAAAAAGATACATCATTAACCAGAGAAAATACTTTAATCTTTTCCATTTAGTTGCAGTTGGCCAATGAAAGTTGAAGCTTTAAAGCAGAGAAAATATTTAAGAATTCCTTTTGAAATCAACATAACATTAAACAGTAACATTCACACTCACTTACCAGAAAAAAAATACCATTAATACCCATTTACCAAAAAGATACATTAACCAGAGAAAATACTTAATTCTTTTCCATTTAGTTGTAGTTGGCTAATTTGGATTTGATGGCCAATGAAAGTTAGAAGCTTTAAACCCAAAATATTTAGAGCTTGTCTGGTAACGTTTTCGGAGAGAATGTCTTAAGAATTCCTTTCAAAATCCTAGAAAACCAACATAACATTAAACAGTAACTTACAAAGATACATAAGTTCAAGAGAGAATGCCTTGTATAACAACATTAGATTACACTGTAGATAATTTTACAAATCATTCTTCGTGAGAAATTGGAACCTCCAGCCTCTTTCCCCTGTAAGCAGGAAGCAAGGTCCCCGTGAAGATCAAGTTCAGAAATAATTAATACCAAAAAAAGAAAAAAAGAATCCATTTCCTTTTCCTGGTGACACAAGAACATCATAAGTAATTAACATATACAGAAAGCTTGTTTGTGAAGTAAGCTTGTTAAGATTATATAAAAACAACATATCATATGTATACTTACATTAATCCAAAGGATAATTAAGCTGGGAGTGGCCAAAACATCTGAGAATAAACAGGGGAAGAACTAAGCCAATTAATCCTACGATCTTCCAAGCAGAAAACAGACCCATCTGATCTGATCAACCCTCTCAACGCGAAACCAATGTCATTTGAATCTGTGAAGTAAATGCAATTCCCTTCGCACCCTTCCAACTCTGCAGCTAAAACAGAGAAACAGCAATCAATACTCAAGAAAAAAGCTTGACCCCCCAAGCTCTTCACTTCAACCCATCTACCCCCCAACTCTTCATCACCCAACTTATAGACCTTGAAATCAATTGCCTTGGGCTGATCGGCTTCGTAGATTCTTCGACCACGACGAAGAGGATGACGAAGAAAAAAATTAAAACTAGCATTACGAACACAAATTCTTGGTGATGTTTGATCTTGCTGATTAGCATCAAGGTACCTATCCACCACATAAAGCTCTCCACAACACTCAATTAAATTCTTTCTGCAACCAAAACCAATAGGAGGCGAAAAAGGCACCAATTCCAGAGACAAATTGATCCTAAAAATTTGACCCCATTTGTTAACAACACAAGGCTGACCCTTATACACAATCAAATCATCGTAATCAGAAATTTGGTCATTGATGAGTGTGAGCTTCTCATTTCCAATTTGGGCAAAACCCAATTTTCCTTCATTGTAGATCATGAAAATTGAGTCTTTAAAGTTAGGGGCTACAATCACCTTGTTTATACCAAAAATGGAACCAGACCCCTTTGTGTATCTCAGCGCATATGCTTTGCCCAGCTCCACCATGTTAAGGTCCACCAGGTTCAAATCCGTTGGATTTCTTGCAACGTCGTCCTTGACAGAGCTGACCCGCCAGTTGGTTATCGGATTCAGAAGGCGAATCTTGTCCGCGCACTCTTCGAGCTTCAGCAACCAGCCCTTGGATGAAGGCGATGAGGACGACGAGGAAGGATTCGGATCCGGATCCCGGTCGGGTCGGGTGAGGTAGACGGTGATTTGGGAGAGGAAGCCTGTGGGCCCGTGAGGGAAAGGGAAATTGGGAGATATGGAGGCGCAGAAAGGAGGAATGGAAGAACGCCAGGAGCTGCAGACGCTGCGGAATCGGAGGACTTCGATGTGGGTTTTGAGGCTTTGGGCGATGAGTTGGTAGAGTTGGGGTGGAAGGTTGGTCCAGTCGACTCTGATGCTGCTGCCATCCATGTCGGCCTTGTGCTTCTTCTTCTGTTGACTTTGATGAGTAGTTTTGCGGAGCATTGTGCTTCTACCGTTAAATTTGATGAAACACTCGGTGTTATTTTTATTTTTTCTCTTGCGCTACTTGTAGTTACTTACTGGTTTACTTTTTTTAATAGTCTCATGTCACTGGCTGCGCGAAAGTCAATATTTTCCTTTTAAAATAGCGGGCTTTTTAAAAAAAATTAAAAATTTATTTTAAAATTAAAAATAATAATGAGTAGTTGTGTTTTATAAAAATAGAACTTATTATTTAATTTTGTTTTAATATGAAAATTTATGAATTTACTATATTATCCACATTTAATTAATAATTTTAATTCTTAATTTTGAATTAAATAATGGCATTTTCTGGTATTTTGAATGTTTCACAATTCTCTGTCTTTTACTTTATATATATATATATACATTTATTAAAGTTAAATATTTTTTTGGTAATTGAGTTTTACACGAAATTGTAATTTGATTTCTAAGAAAAAAAATGTTTTGCTATAGTTTAAACTATAAGGTATTCTCACACAAACATCCAACATGCCATGAGAATTCAAATCTCGAACTTGAAATCACTAGTCTGCAAGTTAATGCCATTTTTTCATTGTGCTAGACACTGTTTGCCTTTTTAAATTTATGTTTAAAAAACTTATCCGACAAACGCATATTTTTGCTCACAACTCTAATCCATGGTGTATCCTTAACACCCTTCTCAATACTTAACATGTATCCATGTGCATAACCATAGTTAACTCCAGGGAGTTTCACTAAAACACACAAAATGATAGCTGAATTAATAAAAAAACCCAACACCCAAAACACATCATTACACACACTCAAAACCCACTTATAAACACACCCAAAAAATATACAATTGTTGACTTTGGAGTTGATTTTGGATGTGTTTCTATGTTTAAATAGTGTTTGGGTTTTTTTATAAATACATGTCTAGGATTGGGTTTATTTATAAATTTGTATTAACTCTATACTTTGTATTTGTGGAACTATGGTTATACTCATAGACACGTGTCAAGTGTTGAGAAGAATTGTGGGAATATACTGAAAGAAGAGAACTTGAGGAAGGTGTAGTGGATAGATGGGGTGTTTGGAGATAAGAGGAAATAGAGATGAGGGAGATAAGAGGGATGGGAAGAAGTGAGATTGAAGATTCAGATAAAAGTAGGGAATGGAGGAAAAGATGAGAAGAAATGGAACACCAACCAGAAGATGTAAAAAAACTCTCACAGAGGAGAGGATGAACTCTCATAGAAGAGAGAAAGGAAAAAGGAGGAAACAGGGACTCTCTCTCCTCCTTTGGGCAATGCAATTATGTAACCAGACAGTTTTGGTATAAAAATCTTAGATTGATAATTTGTAAAATCTCAGATAATTATAAAAAGAAATTGAAAATAATTTGTAACATCATAAGTAATTAACATATAGAGAATATTAGGGGAAAAACAACTAAAGCTTGTTTATCAATTAAGAACAAGTACCAGAAAGCTTGTTTGTCAAGTAAGCTTGTTAAGAGTATATAAAAACAACACAATCATTCATATATATATATAGTCCCCTTCAGTTGAGAGATCCCTCAAATAGTATTATTTGAGGGATGGGGCGCTCAGCCATTGGATGCCTTTTAATGAGATTGTGCGGCTGTGATTGTTTTAAAAGTTGTAACCCGTTTTCACTCAAATGACCCGCAAAAGACCGAAGTCAAGCACACACGCAGAAGGGGAAACGAAGGAAGAGGAAGAGCCAGCCTTGCAAGTTGAAGGGCAGATCCACCATCGCCAGCTGAAGAGTGGACCCGACAATCAGGTATGGGTATCGTTGTCGATGGTTATTTTTTTATCTCTTTTCTCCATCTGGGTTGTGGTTTTAGATTTGGGGTTCTGTGATGGTTTTTTGATATGGGTTTGAAAATTTCTGTTCAAGGTTGAGATTACACCTGATTTCTCGTGGGTTTCTTGATTTTGAGTATATGTGTTATATGAGCTGGGTTGTAATGGTCGTGAGAAAACAAGAAACCATTTGATCTTCTGTTAATCAATAAGGAATGCATTCGAATCCTGTGGGATTCACACTTTGATTTGTGGATTGATTTTTTTTTTCCCACATTCATGTCAATTTCCTCTATCTTCTGTTGATTTCTATTGGGTTTCATGTTTTTTTTCAAAGAAAAAAAATGAATTGTTGTGGGTTAGTTCTAGGACTCACTAATCTGCAACAAATAGAGAATGAGTTTGTATAAATTCATGTCATTTACATATTGTTGTTGAGGTAAGAGATATAACTATTTAATTTTGTTATGGAACGCATAAAAGTGGTCTAAATGATCCTTCTAAGTCTGCAAATAATCTTTTTTATTTTCAAAACCAGAATGCACACAGCCAAACGATAAGTTAGTTAAAATTTGTATGTTATCCAGTGAAAGTAGATGATTTTAGTGAGCCTAAACAATTTCAGCCTAAAGAATTGTAAGCCAAGTACAGAATACTATAAAAATGGCTTTAGCACCTTAAACAAAATGTAACTGTTTGTTATGGTAAAGAAAAGGAAAAAGGTCACTTTCCTTCCCTGTCTCTGAAGCATATGTTTTTGTATGTGCCAGTGAAAGCCTAAGGATTTAACATATCTTTTTTTTTGTTTTTGAAATTAGATGATAATACAGTTCTATTCGGTTCAGGAACTTGCTTCTTTTACTTTAATAAAGATAAATATAATAGAATTGCTTAACTGAATTTGTGATGTTCATAATACTTCGCTTATGTATGACAGTGATAATAAACTTTAAATCTGTTGTCATTCATGAATTCATTAAAATGACTATAAATGCTTTGAAGTACTTAAGAGTGTATCTCTTTTTCAGATGTTTATAGTGTTTGAGTTATATGAAAGTTTTGTAATTGCAGGAAGAAAATATGATAATTGAAGGTATTTATCTATTTCGTTTGTTTTTGTTTTCTTGCAGGCTATATGGCTAAACCGAACGAGACGATCATTTTTGCCCGCAAATGTTAAGCTTGGCTTTAGTAGACGGAGGCCGTGGCTCAGAGTTTCTATGAAATCATGATCTCATTTATGTTTTAGTGATACTTCTTTTGTTAAGCGTGTAAATTGTATCTCAATGCCTTAGATTAGGTGATGTAAATCTAAAGTTTGTTTTATCACACTTGGGACCTGTAATTATCAACGTTTGATGGTTGAAAGAGCTTCATGGCAGTTTAGAGCTATTCAAATTTCTGCATAATTCACGAAAGCCAAGCATGCTAATGTTCCTAAGTCAGGCTTGGGAGTCACATGACAAATCATCACTGTTCACATGTATTTTCTGCAAACAAACTCATGTCATCAACCAGAAATTTCTGATCATTATTATTTCCACACCGAATATAGCACTTTCTTTTGGATTACAAACATTGCAATGGAAACAACTAAATCATGTTTGCTCCTTCGAAGCTCTTCTTCTACAGAAATTTGCCACAACCATACGTGCATTTCAAATCAAAACATTCCGATTCATATCTGTGAGAGGGACCTTATCTCCATAAAATTTCCGCATGAACTTCACTGCTACTATTGGACTTTTAATCTAGCACAAAAACAATTTCAATTTCAAATGCATATTAACAATTCGTAAGCAATCTCATAAGCAAGTACAAAAACAATTTTGCATGTGTACTATAAAGGACTAAAATATATCCGTAACACCTTAATCAGCTAAATAGAGCTCATCATTTAACTATTGAAAGCATCACCAATATAGGTTGTAATTGTAAACATAATATGAGACAAAATTTGGAAAAAGGATTATATACAGTTTAGTGCTCACCTACTACAGCTAACAAGTCTCTACGGTTTTTTTCACAAAGCAATAGCTCCAATACTTTCTATGTGGACCTATGCCAAGACGAAGGCAACATCTGCTTTCTGATTCGCACAACCGAACCTACAAGGATGGAGTCAGATATACCAACAAATATCATCTATACACACACAGGCCTTACACAGAGACACAAGAGACCGAGATTCTTATTGTGATCTAGTTCTTGCAATTTATATGAATCAAGGCAATCGAGTACTGTCTATCAGCATTGAAGAGGGGGAGAAACAAGGCCACAACTGCCTTATGGGCATACAGTGAAAATGAAACAAAAAAACGTGTTGTCCTTGCTTATAAGTGTTCTCCCACAACTTGATACACAGGTATCAAGGCATACAACAATTCCAATATGACATGAATGCGACTTCATACATTTGTACATGCAGATTTCTAAAAAATAATGCTTATAATTGTTTGTCATTGAAAAGCACACAAGCCCATTCACTATTTGATATCCCAATATGAAATTGACTTTTTTTGTTTGTTTTTGTTTTGGTTGCCTATGCCGTTAGAACTCATTCTCTAATTTTACAAGAAATTTCTTATAAATAAAAAAAATGAAACCCAATAGAAATCAACAGAAAGTAGAGGAAATTGACATGAATGTGGAAAAAAAAAAAAAAAATTCACAAATCAAAGTGTGAATCCCATAGGATTTGAATGCATTCCTTATTAATTAACAGAAGATCAAATTGTTTCTTGTTTTCTCATAACCATTCAAAATCAAGAAACCCACGAGAAATCAAGTATAATCTCAACCTTGAGCAGAAATCTTCAAACCCATATTAAAGAACCCCAAATTGAAAACCACAACTCAGATGGAGAAAAGTGAGAGAAAAATAACCATTGATATCGATACCCATACCTGATTGTCGGATCCGCTCTTCAGCTGGCGATGGTGGATCTGCCCTTCAGCTTGCAAGGGCTGGCTCTTCCTCTTCCTTCGTTTCCCCTTCTGCGTGTGTGCTTGACTTCGGTCTTTTGCGGGTCATTTGAGTGAAAACGGGTTACAACTTTTAAAACAATCACAGCCGCACAATCTCATTAAAAGGCATCCAATGGCTGAGCGCCCCATCCCTCAAATAATACTATTTGAGGATCCCTCAACTGAAGGAACTATATATAAATATATATATACACTTACATTAATCCAAAGGATAATTAAGCTGGGAATGGCCAAAACATCTGAGAATAAACAGGGGAAGAACTAAGCCAATTAATGCTACGATCTTCCAAGCTGAAAACAGACCCATCTGATCTGAGCAACTCTCTCAACGCCAAACCAATGTCATTTGAATCTGTGAAGTAAATGCAATTCCCTTTGCAACCCTCCAACTCTGTAGCCAAAACAGAGAAACAGCAATCAACACTCAAGAAGAAAGCTTGATCCCCCAAGCTCTTCACTTCAACCCATCTGCCCCCCAACTCTTCATCGCCCAACTTATAAACCTTGAAATCAACTGCCTTGGGCGGATCAGCGTCGTAGATTCTTCGACGACGACGAAGAAGAGGATGGCGAAGAAAAAAATTAAAACTAGCATTACGAAACATAACCAATTCGTCCCTAGCATTACGTACTTGTGATTTTTTATCTTGCTGATCAAGGTACCTATCCACCACATAAAGCTCTCCACAACATTCAATTAAATTCTTTCTGCAACCAAAACCAATCGGAGGAGAAAAAGGAACCAATTCCAGAGACGAATTGATCCTAAAAATTTGACCCCATTTGTTAATAACAAAAGGCTGACCCTTGTACACAATCAAATCATCGTAATCAGAAATTTGGTCATTGATGAGTGTGAGCTTCTCATTTCCAGTTTGGGCAAAACCTAATTTTCCTTCATCGTAGATCATGAAAATTGAGCAGTCTTTAAAGTTAGGGGCTACAATCACCTTGTTTATACCAAAAATGGAACCAGGCCCCTTTGTGTATCTCAGCGCATATGCTTTGCCCAGCTCCACCATGTTAAGGTCCACCAGGTTCAAATCCGTTGGATTTCTTGCAACGTCGTCCCTGACAGAGCTGACCCGCCAGTTGGTTATCGGATTCAGAAGGCGAATCTTGTCCGCGCACTCTTCGAGCTTCAGCAACCAGCCCTTGGATGACGGCGATGAGGACGACGAGGAAGGATTCGGATTCGGATCGGGTCGGGTGAGGTAGACGGTGATTTGTGAGAGGAAGCCAGTGGGCCCATGGGGGAAAGGGAAATTGGGAGATATGGTAGCGAGGAACGGAGGAATGGAAGAACGCCAGGAGCTGCAGACGCTGCGGAATCGGAGGACTTCGATGTGGGTTTTGAGGTGGTCGGCGATGAGTGGGTAGAGTTGGGGTGGATGGTTGGTCCAGTCGACTCTGCTGCTGCTGCCATCCATGTCGGCCTTGTGCTTCTTCTTCTGTTGACTTTGATGAGTAGTTTTGCAGAGCATTGTGCTTCTTCTGTTAAATTTGATGAAACACTCGGAGTTAGTTTTGTTCCTCTTGCGCTCCTAGTAGCGAAAATTCTACGGCGGGAGTGGCGCGTGGATGCGCCCACTGTTATAGACCATTGGATGAATAGTTGGTGATGTGGAGTTATCCACACCGTTGAGTTAGTTATTGGATAAATCTGTTGTTGTAGGTAGAAAAAAGAAAAGAAAAAAAAAAGCAAAAACTCTCCTTCAGTCTGACATTTCAAGTCAAGTTAGGGTAGTGTTTCTCTTCTCTCTCTTTCCTCTCCGCCTCCTGTGATGACGAGACAGCGCGACAAACAAGACTCCTCTCCTCTCAGGTATCTCTCTCTAGTAGTTACTAGTTTACTTTTTTTAATAGTATCATGTCACGCTTCACGAAAGTCAATATTTTATTTTTAAAATATTTATTAAAGTTCAATAATTTTTTTGGTAATTGAGTTTTTACATGAAATTGCAATTTGATTTCTAAGCCCAAAGGAAAAAAAATGGTTTGGCTATAGTTTAAACTATAAGGGAGGGGATTCTCACACAAACAACTAAGGTATCATAAGAATTCGAACCTCGAACATGAAATAACTGGTCTGCAAGTCAATACCATTTTTCATTGTGCTAGACTTTGTTTGCCTTTCTAAATTTATGTTTAAAAAACTTATCCGACAAACACATATTTTTGCTCATCATTCTCACTCAATGTGTATTCTTACAAGTATTCTCAACATTTGACATGCGTCCATTAGCATAACCATAGTTCCACAAATACAAAGCAAAGAGTTAATTATGATTATGCAAATGGACAGATGTTAAGTGTTGAGAAGGATTACGATGATATACGTACCTTGAGTTAAAGTAGAGAGAAAATGAGAATTAATTACAAAATATTCTCAAGGTCTGAACATAACTCCAAGGACAACAATCCAAAACCGCTATTAGAACTAGAATTTGAGAATTCCATCTGAAATCCAAGTAACCCAAATATAACACAAAACAAGAACATTTAAAAGGATATAAGTTGAAGATAGAACAGCTTACTTTGCCTGTTTGTAATATTAACAGACTCCAACCTCAGACATTGCATTGGACCGATGAAAAGACAAGAGTCTTAAACATTGGACAAACTAGACTGATAATTTAACACTGGTTTTATTCTTCGTGAGAGCAATGGTGTCAAAATCAAACAAAATGAACAAGCATATTTGTCTCTATGCCCTACTAGGACTGTTTGCAGGTGTTATTTTCAGCTCTTGCTTGCATGGGTCTCAAATGACTTTGGAGGAGCAACTTAATAGAGCCCCTCTTACACAGAGTTTTGGTGAGTTCAAAATCTATGTCATACCTTTTGTTGGCTGAAATACATACAACTTAAACGTAACAGGGGAAAGACTAGAACATGTAACATGTATATAGGACCACTGTATAGAACAAAGTATAGTGTTTTTGCTAACTGTAAAATAGACGTAGAATTCAAGGCCAATGCAATTTATCACCATCCAGCCACTCAAGTGTAGGAACTAACTTGACCAAAAGCGACTTGAAGTTTTCACCAGAAATTGCATTTCCCACAATGGCTAAAATATTGTGTCAAGCTCAAGCTTTTAAATATCAGAACAGCTTCCCAATTATCTTTCACACTGGCACCCCCAGTCACAATTTCATCACTGTTCCATCTACTTTCTTCTCTATGGGAAAGAGGTGTAGAACATAGATACCTTGTCGTGTCAGTAGTGTGTGAGCCTATCTCATTGTATGAGATATCCAACACTTCTAGTGACTTCAACAGTCTCAACGGCCCCAGAGCAGTTAAACTACCGAGCTTGTTGTTACTCGGATTTAAGCAAGACAGAAGCTGCATGGCCTCCAATCCTGTCCAAAAGCCCAAGTATAAGACATTCCTCTCAACAGAAAACAATCAAATACATCTTATTGGCTACTAAGATGCATAACGTACAGACAAAGACAGATGAAGTTGCAGAGGAAGTTCCTGGTCCTCTGGTTTCTCCAGAAAATGTCACAAAAGGGCAAGCTCCCGGAACTGCAGATACTCCACTCAAACAATTTAACAGAGCAGTTTCATGGTCGAGTACTTGAGTTCCTCAACCATGGATGCAGTGCTCAGTTCTACATGATATGGTTTTCACCAGCAACCAAGTTTGGCAAAAGAGAAGTCATGGCTACGGACAGTCTCTTAAAATTCAATCCTAAAGGGTGCTTGATGATCCTATCAAAAAGCATGGATTCAGGAAGTGGATACAGAATCCTGAAGCCGCTTCTAGATCGAGGATTCAAAGTAAAAGCATTAACACCAGACCTGCCCTTTCTAGTCAAGAACACCCCAGCTGAAACTTGGCTTCAAGAATTATGACTTGTCTCAGACAACTGTATCATTTGCCCTGATATGAATACTTCATATGGAAATTTTTTAGCCATAAGATGGTGAAGGTGAAGCCTATATGCCTAGGCATTTGACTTACCTAGTCACATCACATGTAGCAGAACCCACTATCTCTCTAGTAGATGTTCATAGTTCCATTACAGAAAGGGTCGCGGGTGTGAGCAAGGGGTCGTCGCGGCCTGGGGGTGGTGATAGACTCGTGAGAGAGAAGGAAGCAACAGCGTGAGGTTTTTAAAGTTAGGAAAAAAAAAAGGACCCGGCAGGCGCCCCGACCCGCCTCGGCCCGCGCCCGCCTAGACCGCCTAGCCCGCCTAGGCGCCGCCTAGACCCGCCTAGGCAGATTTTTCAAATCTAAAGCAAAATAAAGGAATTCATAGCTATTTGAATGTCCCAACCAATGTTTTCAAAGGCATGCCTTCGAGCGCGTCGGAGCGAGGCGGCAGGGAATCGCCCGAGGCGGTCGGCTGTTTCGGCTAGTTGCACGTTTAGCGCGGGGAAGGCGTGAGGAGGCGTTTCAAGGCGTAGCCAGGCGGAGCAAGGAATCACCAGATCTGGAACCTTCTGAACCGGAAGAGATTTTGCGAGTCTGCAAATTGGCTGTGAGGAAGACGACTGAGGAAGACGATCGTTTTTTTTTTTTTTTTTTTTTTTTTGGGTTGATAGAACGACGTCGTTTCAATTTCAGTGTTTAAAACTTTAAATGAAACGACGTCGTTTCACTTGGAGTGTTTTGATTGAAAAAAACCCGCAAGTTCTCTTCTTTTTCACTTACCTTTATTCTAATAAACTAAAGGTAAGAAGATATTAAAATCTTTCTTGCCTTTTCTAACTCCAGCCGGCTGTAGCTTTATTCTGCTTATTATTATTATTTTTTTCTAAATTAATATATATATATATATATAGTATAACCTATATATATAGTGAAGGTTACAATTAGTGTTTAATTCATTACCATTAAATTTTATGTTGGTGGTGGTGAAAAACCTGGTACAATCAAAGCATACTCATTTCTCCTTTTTCTGTTTTGCTGTCTTCGTTTCCACTTGCTTGATTTTAGTCATGCATGTTGATTCCTCAATAGGGAAATCTGAACCAAGCTCTATACTTTGTATATACGGTCAAGTTGGAGAAATCTAAACACAATCTGTTTTGTCTACACCTTACTCTAGTACCAAAGTTAGTTCTAGTTTGTTGTGAGGTTGTGTTGGTCAAGTTAGTTGGAAGGAAGACTGGTTTTGAGTGCGTAGGAGGAAGGTAGGGATAGTGCGTAGGAGAAGGTAGGTGGGGAAGGGAAGAAGGAGAAGCGGTGAGTGTTGGGTGAAATGAGAAGTGGGACGGATGTGAGAGGCGGGCTGGCCAACAAAAAAGGGTTGAGAGCCGGGGAGACTGATGTGGGGAGTGGGGAGGTTTGGATGTCAGTTTGGTGGGCTTCGAGAGAAGAAATGGAGTCGACAACACCGTCAAGTTGGGATTGGAGGTGGTCGTGGCGAACATCAGCGGTGGCGGCACTAAGATTCTTATCAGAGATCGAGAGATGTAGGGTTTTGCCCATGAGGGTTCTGATACCAGTTGATAGGGTCTGGCTTACAGAAAGATGAGTTGGTGATGAAAAGAGCAGAAATCGTAAAGGAAGACGTCAATGAAAGAGTAAGGAAAGGAAAGAAATTGCGAACATAAAACAAATTATCTTCCACTTGTTCGAGAATTTCCTAAACTCAAACGTCATGAATATTAAATAGATTAAAATAATAAAACAAATTAAAAAGAAATGTCGCCCAATATTAAGTAGACTCTCCGCATGCGCTTCTGAGCCTGCGAGCAGATTTAAAAAAAAAAGGGTATTTTCCACCTGCTCCTAGAGATGCAGAAAAGGGTCTTCATTAACAGTAAACAAGTAACTTCCCTATGTCAAGTATTGAAAAATAATTAATACCCAAAGAAAATTCCCTTTTTTTTTCCCTAAGTGAGACACAAATATTACAGAACATTCAGAGAAGAAAAATTAGTTAACATAGGGTGTGAAGTTTTGATCTATCTCCATACCATAACCACAAATATACTGTCGTGAAGGATTAAAATGTCTTCTAGGCAAATTTCTTTTCTTTAAGATTTGTAGAATTCTCTCTTAAAATAAATAACGATACTCTCCAATCAATCTTGAATTCTAATACAACTCTAATTTTTTTTCCCCCTTTTTGTTAGAACCCTCAACCTAACCTAATTCTAACCCATATTCTCACCCATACTCACCACTTGGGCTTACCAGGGTAAACTCTTTCAGATTTTGAAGGACTATTTCTTCTTTTAGTTGATTATGTTGTAAAATGCACCCTATATTCATCAGAGTGTTTGCATATAGCCCCTTCAATTGGAGCCTCTGTTCAACTTGCTAGACATTATGTATAAACTTGAGAGAGAAAGAGAGAGAGGTTGCCATGCACTAACCATGTTATGATACCAAAACATGGATGCACATACCCCAATTTTAAGTTTAAAACAATACAATCTACTCAAAAGAGCCAAGCTTGTTGATGAATTAAGCATGATCCAACATCAACTACACACTCAAGACCCCAACCTTCCAATAGCTTATTAGTTTTACACTGTGAAGATGAAACTTAGAAGGAAAATTATAAGCATGTAACCAGTAAACATTCTATTCTATATCTTGAGAAGTAAGAACAAATATTTCATACTTTCGACAAAAAAAAAAAAATTTCATACTTACATTCACCAATCAGCATGCAGACAGACATCAGTCGGGGGAGAGCCAGGCTGAGGGTGGCTGGAGCATCGGAGAATAGCCAGGTGAAGCTGCTAGGTTCGTAATGCTGCCATTTTCCAAATTGAACACAGAACACTGCCGAGTAAGTGTTCTTGGCCCTCCAAATTCTGGCTCATAAGTACGCTTTTGGTCGGTGAACAAAATGCAATTCCCTTTCACTCTAGAAACGCCTCTGGTGGAGACAGAGAAAGAGTCGTCATGGCTCAAAACAAACACTTGATCTCCCAAGCTATTCACCTCAACCCACCTACCCCATTCTTGTTCCAGCTTATAAACTTTAAAACTAACTGTCTCAGGATAAGGGGCAGTGAGATCCCCAAAAATAAGGTCCCGGTGCTCTAACATCTTGCCCATCTTGGGCCTCTGCCTCTCAGTGAACCGATCAACCACATAAAGATCACCACAAGACTCAACCAAATGCTTCTGCTCACCCAAACTATCCAAGGGAGGCGAAAATTGAATCGCCTTGAACTCTGAATTCATGCATGAAACTATTCCCTCTCTATCAACAACATAGCAGTGACCCAATAATATCGTCAAACCAAGAGTCTTTTTGTTTCAAAAGGGTCCATTTCTCATCTCCAAATCTGGCAAAGTACAATTGGCCTTCACCGTGCATCATCATCACAGTAAAATTATCCAAATGGGTTGAATTCAAGACTACAACTTTGTTCATACAATCAACAGTGAAATCGTTAATCCGATACTTAAGGGCATAAGACTTGCTCAACTCCACAATCCCAAAGTCCAATAAGTTGAATTGTTTTGAAGAACCGTCAGGAGAGTTCCTAAGAGGCGAATTTGTGATTGGATGACGCAAACGCAGCTTTCCAGAAGGGGACTCTTCGAACTTGACCAGCCATGGTTTTGACGAATTGGGTTCTCCGTCGACGAGTGACTCCATGCGGTAGACTGTGATTGGGTAGAGCACGGCTTGGATTTCAGTTCCGGCAGCCCTGGCGCTTGAAGAGGAACAGGAAGAATACATGTGGGGCAGAGGAGGAAGAATGGTTCGCTGAAAAGAGGGGATAGAGGAACGCCATAACTTACAGACGCTGCGAAAGCGGAGAACGCTCTTCCCCCTCTCCAATTTCTCAGCCTGGCACAGTGGAGTCTTAACGAATAAGTTTGTCTTTAATAATGTTGGGTCCCTCCACAAAAGCTAGATTTTATTTTGGTTGGATTGCGAATTTGCCTGTAATCTAATTGGTCCAGATTGATAATTTCATTTTTGGTATAAAAATCTTAGATTGATAATTTGTAAAATCTCAAGATAATTATAAAAATGGATTTTCTGGATTTGTTTATGAATTAATTGACCTGTATTTACGGTGCTGATTTTCCCACTTTTTTTTTTCAATATTTTTTACTATAGTATACAATTTTCAATAAGGAATTGTAAGTGGATAAAAAAGAAGTTGAGAAATCAACTCTTTTTATTTAAGGTGTATATTGTAAATTTGATAATTAAAGTCTTCACATGATGATTTATCGGGAGCCTATAATTGTTTAAGAGTTTCAATAGTTAAATTTGGATTAGTGAATACAATTAAAAGTGTCAACTTCGACTCCTATAAATGGTTGACAATTTTAACGGTTGGAGGTTCAGGACTGTCAGTATTTATGAGCGGCTAACAATTTCAACAATTAGGAGGCCTATAAGCGACCGAGATTTTCAACAATTGGATAGAATTCAAAATCTTTATGAACGGCTAATAGTTTCAACAATTGAAGGGCCTATGAGCTACTGACATTTTCAACGATCGGATATAGTTCAAAACCCATGAGTAACTAACTTACGAAATCATATCCAACGGCTAAGAGTTTTGGAGCACATAGGCGTCTTAAATATAAGTCGGTGCAATATAATGCTTTTTGTTTTATTTTTGTGAATGAAAGTTTAGGGGGAGATTGATTACTCTCACCACCAGCACCAGGGCAGACCCACGACCTCTAGCCGGAAGGACTTATATGTGGCACTCAACTGTCAGCTTTCACAGGTACGAATTTATTAGGAAATTACAAATTGTGCACCAATGAGGATTGTTGGCAATGAGACCTGAACACTAGTAGGTCTACACACAATGCAGGGACCTTACCAACTAAACCAACCTTTGTTGGCTGCAATATAACGCTTTGTTTAAATGCTTTTCTTTTTGTTGATCAACAAGAAATGTCATTTTCCAATTTAAATAAATAAATAAATATCACTAAATCAAGAGCTAATTAATAAACTTAACCTAACCCCAATCATTGTGAAATCTACTTTTTCAAAAATTGCATTCAAAAGCAAATCTTTTACCAATAAAGCAATTGTTATGATAAATATACCAAACTATTTGGTAAGGTGTTCAATAGACTATAAAAATAAAAATAAAAAACTATTTGGTAAAGGAAAATAGTTGGCAATGCATCACCCCAATGCGTGAATGAAGGAAAATGAAATAAAAACTATTTGGTGTTGAATAGATTATGCAAAACTGGAAAGTAAAAAAAAATTGCATTGGAAAGCATTTTTTTTGGCAACAATTTATGTGACACTTGTTGAACATGGATGGTCAATAATTAGTATTATTTCACTTCAAATCGATAAAATCAATTACCATCCCAAACCATCAATAATTAGAGTACCGATTTCACTGTTTTTTATTTTTTATTTTTTTATTTTTTAATAATTATAATTTTAAATGTTGGGTCTCATGAGAGCTTTAAAGCCCGGAGCAACTGCAAACCTGCAAAGCCCAGAGCAATTGAGTACGACACAAATTGAACACAATTGGCTAACATTGACCATGACCAGCGTTGGTCGCCATGGCTAAGCTGGTTTTTGGAAGGTTAACAATTAGTTTGAAAATAAAGGGTAAAATAGTCATTTTAATTATTACACACCAAGAAAATAGTAATTAGTTCAACAGACAGTTTAACTACATAATCGGTATGTACACATCCAGAATAATATTAACAGACTACAATATTAAACATTTGGATAAACTAGACTGATAAATTTTTACAATACTTTTACTGCAGATAATTTTACAAATCACTCTTCATGAGAAATTGGATTTTCCACCACCTCCGAGAGATGCAGAAAAAGTGGTCTTCATTAGCAGTAAGCAAATTTCCTGTCAAGTGTTGGGAAATAATTAATATCCAAACAATTTTTTTCCAAGTGAAACACAATTAGTACAGAATATTCAGGGAAGATATTTTTTTTTTACCACAAAGCATACTTTCTAAAGTTTGGATGTGTCTATGAAAACCACGGGTAGTAATAACCAAAATCAGGATTAAAAATCTACTTGCTAGACATTCGGTCAGCCACGAGGGTTTGCTATCCTCCACATCCTACAATTCTTCGAGCTGAATGCTCATATTCTTTTGCAGAAGGACTGCAGGCACTAACCTTGTTATTGATGCCAAAACTTGGATGTAAATACCCCAATTTTAAGTCTAGGAGAATATAATCTACTCAGAACAGCTAAGCTTGTATATAAAGTAAGTGTGATAAGATCCCACAATATACAGCACACTCCATCCATACCCCCACCATGAAATTTAATTCCTTCCTATTGCTTACTAGCTATTAGATTGTGAAGATAAAAACTTGGGTGAGAGTACAAGCACTTTTGTCTCATTGACTGGCAAGAAAATTTATAAGCATGTAATCAGTAAACATTCTAGATATACAGAGAGAAGTAAGGATGAAACATTTCATACTTACACTCAGCAATCAGCATGCATATGGGGACATTAATCGGGGCTGAGCCAACTTGAGGGTGGCCATAGCATAAAACAGGCACGAAAAGCCGCTACATTCTTGATGCTGCCATCCTCTAAGTCGAACACACAACTGTGACATTTTCTTGCTCCTGATCCTGCAACCCCTGGTAAATGAGCATGCCTGTGATCGGTGAACAAAATGCAATTTCCCTTCACTCTAGCAAAGCCTCTGGTGGAGACAGAGAAAGACCCATCATTGCTCAAAATAAAAACTTGATCTCCCAAGTTCTTCACATCAACCCATCTAGCCCATTCTTGATCCAGCTTATAAACTTTAAAATCAATAGCCTCAGGGACCGCAGCATTGGCAAAGAAAGGATTAGGATGAACAGGATTATGAAGACCAAATATAACATTATTATCCTCAAGATGGTACCTCTCGGATCTCTCCCTATCAAGGCAACGATCAACCACATAGAGATCACCACAAGACTCAACCAAATGCTTCTGCCCACCAAACCCACATAAGGGAGGCGAAAAAGGAACCACTTTCAACTCTGAACTGACCCAAAAAATTGTTCCCAATCTATCAACAACATAGCATTGGCCCTTATAAACAATAATATCATCATAGTGAGAGTTTTGTTCATCAAAATGGGTCCATTTCTCATCTCCAATTCTCAGAAAACCCAACTTGCCTCCATCAAATATCTTGAATATACCACAATTATCCAAATGGGTTTGACCCATGACCACCACTTTGTTCACACAAGCAATAATGACATTGTTTTGTCGATACTTGAGACTATACGATTTGCGCAATTCAACAACCCCAAAGTCCAATAAGTTAAAGTTCTTAGCTTTAGGGGAGTACCTGAGAGTCGAATTTGTGATCGGGTGAAGTAAACGCGACTCACCAGAATTGGACTCTTCAAGCTTCAGCAACCATGGTTTTGAATTTGATGAATTGGGTTCTCCGTCAACGAGTGGCTGCATACGGTAGACTGTGGTTTGGAAGAGCAAGGCTTGGAATTCAGCTCCGGCAGCCACGGCGTCTGAGGAGAATTTGTGGGGCAGAGGAGGAACAGTGGTTTGCTTGAAAGGGGGGACAGAGGAACGCCATAACGTACAGACGCTGCGAAATCGGAGAACGTCGATGCGACTGTCGAGGCAATTTCCGATCGTCAGCCATAGCTCCTTTGGAAGAGCTGACCAATCCACCTTCTTCTTCTTCTCCATCTTGACTGACTTGGCAGAGTGGAGAACTAACAGCTAACGGCTGTGCTTTTATGATGCCTGGCCACCTCCGCTTGTAGCTAGACAAATTTATTTATTTTCCTTTTAATTAGTCACATATTAGTATTATTTTACCTATTTATCCCTTTTAAAATAAAGGTGTTTTGAGAAATTTTCTTACATTAGGGTAAATTGAATATTTTAAAAAATTAACCACAACGAAATTTAAAACAAATACCATAAAATGAAGATCGTAATATTTGTAGTTAGATTTTGAGCAGCTGTGAATCTAAACGCTTAATTGCATGAATATTATTTGTCGACAATTTATCAACACAAACATTGAAAAAATAAATACCATAAAACAAAGACCATAAATCATATCTTCTTCAAAATGGAAACAGCTTTATATTAAACATTTGTTATAGAGGCATTTCAATCCAACACATACATGGATCAAAACTATAAACCTTCACAAAGTCATCACACACACACATCAACTTATTTTAGGAAAAGGAAATGAGAAAATTCATGGTTGCCACAAATCTTAAACAGGAATAGCCGCCAACTGACTGAAATTCATGGGTGCCACAAATCTTGTCCCTGCGCCATAGAGGGTAAGTGCTGCTAGTCGGGAAGCATATTCAGTTGGATGATACAAGTCCCAGAACAAATACTCATGCCGATTCGCACAAAGGTTGGGGTTTAAGGAATGCATGCATGGGATTACTCCATTTAACTGTCCATTTCCACAACAAGCTGATTGGGTGTCCTTGAAACCTAGCAAGTAGTTTAACAAATTTTTCTCCAATTAAGAAAAAAAAATTTCAACATGATCTTCATTTTACTATTTGTCTGAAATACTTACCAAAAGCTAATGGGTCTTCAATGATGCTCATGGTCATCGCATAAGCGTTTCCGAGTGAGTATTTCATCCCTTTCAACTTGGAGCTCATTTTGAGCAGAAGATCCTGGAGTGAAATGAAAAAGGATTGAGCAAGCTTGTTTAGTTCCTCTCTACAAACACCCGACGTATTTGAAACACGTGCATGAGGGCAACATCCAATTGGAGCAACACTTATAATCCCAAATTTCCGAGCTCCCAACTTGTACAAACCCTGCATTTAATCACAAAATCGTTAAATAAGCTTATTTGAAGGACACCTTTATGATTTGGTCCACTCTCCGAACCGTCTATACCTCTAAATGGTTACGGTACGTGGATTGAAGATTTGCCATGTAGAAGAACTCATCCTCTGGATCAACTGAGGTAGAGGAATTGGAAGGAAGTTCCACATGGTCGAACAGGTCGTTGCTTCCGGTACTAACGATGAACAAAGACTTGGCAATAAATTTATCAGTTGCCTCGGGACCTATCAACTTTATGAAATTTCCCCGGACTGTCGCAAATTGTTGGATTTGGTCTCCGAGTGGAACAACCTCGGTCTACAGTTAATTGCAACAACACAGATTATGAAAGAAATATTTATAATTTTGACTTCAAGGTTAATTAGTTTTAGATAATTTATATATAAGACCCCAACGTTCAAACAAGAATTAATTTTAATTTACAGTCCGACAACATAACCATGAAGTAAATAATGTTGCATGCTTACATATCTGAATTTTCCAGTTTTTATGAGTATGCCGGATCCTCCTGAAGCAAAGTTCACCCCCTGCAGGATATCTCTTTTAAAAGTGGAGGTACGGTTGAGAATATACAAGAAGGGTGGCGGACTTCTCTGGTAGCCAAATAGTCTCGCTACAAATCAAAGTAGGAAAATCGTCAAAACCGTCTAATTAACTACGTTAGATATAGATAATCAGTT